CAATTGTTTTTAAAGCGAGAAATATATAAGTCCACAAAAATTGTTGAGAATTCTATTGATTTCAGCGAAACCTCATCCTTTTCTTTTTAAAGCAGCGAGTAAAAGCTACACAATCTCTTTCAAAAGTTAATTTATACACAATATGCAAAAATTCATAAAAGGCCTAACAAAAAAAAAAAAAAATCCTTCCCAACACTTATATATTGGAAACAGAATTATATTCGAAAAAAAGAAAACACAATAAAGAAGCGAAGGTAATTTGTTTCAATCCTAAAAAAACTATCATGTTTTAAATAATGATCCAATTCTCAAGAAAAACCAAATCCCATCAAATCCCTTCCAAACAAAAACATTGATGAAAACAAACCAATACCATAACAAAATTATATGAGCACCAATAAACCGAATGACAAAAGAAAATCGTTAACCAAAAATTTAACTAACACGCAAGAGAAATTCTCAAGACAACGAGAAACTACCTTTGAAATGAAAGAACCCAAAATGTGCAAGCAATAGTAAAAACAAAGAAAACAAAAGGCAATAAAAATTTTAAAATTTGAGAACAAACTTATAGGAGAAGTGAATCTATATAAACAAGCAAAAGGGGAACACAATAGTTGTCACACATAAGGAAATGACAGAGAGGCAACATGATTAAATAAGATAAAATAAATAAATAAAAGAGAGAGAAAAAACCTTATAGGTTGAAAAGAAACCAGCAATCGATCCAATCAAATTGAAAAATAAACACAACCCAATAAATCGGTATTGAAATCCAATGATCCCACAAGTAAATGGCATAATCTCGATGGAACAATGATTAAATAAAAGCCCAAAGTAAAGAACATTAGGAAATCTAAACTCGTGAGGACAATATTTGTAAAGAATCAAAAAACCACCACAAAATACGAGTGTCAAATTGATTGATATTGAACGAAGAAGCAAAAAATCCATAAAATTCGACCAAATGCAAGTTATCTATCAAGTTAATTTATTGTTTCTTTTTTACTTTTCCTATCTTGATATGAAAGAGATAGAGAGAGAAAAATTTAAACAATAAAATAGTTGAGTATCCTTTGGATGTCCTACAAAATTAAATCGTTCATAAAATAAAAAATAAAAAAAGCCATCCCCTAAACTTGTTAATAAAACCAAGAAAAACCACACTCTCGTACCTTATGGTGTAGGAACACTAATTGGTGGCTTTGTAATTTCCTCCTTAAATAACCTTACCATAATGCTATGCTCTCCATAAATTAATCACTTTCTAATTCCTTCCTCAAAAAGAGGGATCAAAGAAAGCAAACAAAAGGAAAGAAAACAACGGGACCGACGATAAGAAAAACATTAGACTTTGGAGAATTCAATATTTACTTTTTGCATCAAAAGCTACACATGTAAACCATAAGTTATAAACATTAGCATTTTACAAAAATTAACATAACCTAATATTTGGAGGTCTTAAAACACTTAATAATGTATATTTATTAAATATTTCAAAATTTAAAATCAATATAAAAATACATAGAATCAACTAAACCTTCACCATCTTCGACCTTTAGACCCGTGAATATTAACTAAAAATTTCATTAATTCATACCTCTCTCGTTTAACAACAACTCGTAGAAAATACATAAAGCTAAAACAAAAATCATGAAAACAAAAAAAATTAAGAGATCAACATAAAAACATTTTGCTAGTCAATTCCTATGATAGACATCAATTGACGAGTTAAACATTCAGCGAGAATCATTCGAAAGCAAATTAGCCATTAATCATCCAAATAAGAACGAGTTTAATTTAAGCACTTTAGCAAACTCTAAATGGCCAAAAGCATAGCTAATACATGCTAATTTATGTAATAACCCAAATTTGTTTTTATTTATTATTTTATTTTTATTTTTTATTCCATGTATGTTTTGTTTTATTTCAATTGAAGTTTACAAAAAAATAAAAAAAAAGAAGAAAATGATAAAAAAAAAACCACAAAAACATTCATTCGAGGGCAAAATTACATTTAAAGAAAGGAATAATTGAAGTAATTAGGGGTATAATCGAACCAATTGAAAATTTTAGAACCTAAATTGCTTCTTACAAGGACCCAATTGATAAGATTGCACTTTATAAAGACTGAAATTGTACCACGAAGGGCGTGATTGCTGGAATTGAAATGCACGAGGACCAAGCCGAAAGTTTGGAGCGAACGACAGATCTGCAATGGAGAGGACGACTCGTCGTCCACTCCAATGCAAATTCTCTTCGAAAATCTTTGAGAGAACTCGCCCAAATCCTCCATAAATTTTCTCGTTTTGATTTTGTATTTATCATGATTCTTGGACGAAATTAATAACGAAAAATCAAGCAATGACCAAATTTTCTGTTTTGATTTTGCATTAATCATGAATTAAAGAGAAAAAATTTTGACTTAAAAATTTGATACTTAGATTCGATTTTAGGAAGTTTTTGGCTATAAAACGGGTTTGATTTCACATAGAAAAAGGAAGGGGAAGGAATTCGGGTTGAGAGATAGGAAAATCCAAGCAAAAAACAAAAGGTTGATTTTCGATTTTTTTAGCGATTAAGTTTTTTGGGTTTTCTTACGGGGTTTTGGGTTGAAAGTGTTCATATTTACGGGTTTGTGTTCTTCAACCCCGAAACAGCTTGAAGCATCCTTAACCTTGATTTGAGAAAAATTGGTTCGTTAGGGTCGAGGAAAGGAAATTGAGAGTAAGATTTCAAGAAATTCGTGAGAAATTAGTGTTCTTGGTTCTGCGTTTCGGGTTTTCTCTCGGGTTCTTTCTAGGCTCATTCTTGACGCTCTTCTCGTTTTCGTGTCGACTCTTGGGTTCGATTCTCCAGCTTCAAATTTGGTTGTTTGTTTTAGTTTCAATTGTTGGTTCGTTATTTCATTCATGTTCTAAATTGTGATTTATGTAATCAAGTTTTTCCTTTTCAAGAGGGTCTTTAATTTTTGAAAAAATTTGAAGAACTAGAGAATAAACTAAGAACAAGAGAGAGAGAAGATTGGCAAGCCATTTGATCCATTTTTGCTTAAATTTTTTCACTCGGGCTCGTTTCTAGGCTTAAGCCCAATGAATTAAGAAAAGAAAAGAAATCAATCCAACCTTTGCCCCTTACCCCGGATAAAAAAAAGGGGGCTGGACTGGAATTCAACCTGACTGTGTCCCTCACCCAAAAAAAACGAAAAAAAAAAGAAAAAACTCCCAATAAAAGGAAAAAAAATGAGAAGGTCGGCCTTCTCCCTCAAAAAAAGGAAAAAGAAGAAGAAGAGATTGTGGGTTAATGGTTTAGGTATAGGATGATTTCTTTTTTTATTATTCATCTATCTATTTTTTTTACTTTTATTATTTATTTTTTTAGCCTCGTTTATTTTTATTCCTTGTCGTTTTTTTAATATTAATTTAGAGTTGTTACTTCAATTTTTTTTCTCTTTTTTAATATGTATGGTTAGAAAAAAATTATAAAAATCTTGACAAAGTCTCCTATCCGATAGGGACCGACGTCACAAAAAATGCTTAAAAATTTTGGCCAAGCCTCCTACTTGGTAGGGATCGACGCCACCAATAAATAAATAAATTGATGAAGTCTCCTATCTAATAGGGATCGACGTCACCAAAAATCACCTTTTAATTAAGACGTCCTCCGACACGCCGATTATGTTACGGCTTTTAGTGGATTCAATGTTTGAATCGATGCGGCACCCGACGAAGGGGAACGATGATCATTTCAATACGATGCCACACTCAAAGTAAAAAATTTTTAGTTTAACTTTGAAAAAAATAGGAGTTTAAAAATTAGAAAATGGTTTGACATGGATTTTTAGGAGATGAATTTAGAACTAAACCATACACGGTACCTTTTTTCGAAAAAGACACTTTTAGGTGATTAAATATCTTCCTAAAAGCGTGACCAACTCCTTACCTTAGGAATCTCCGAACCAGTGCTACTTTTAGGTTCCTAGTTCCTTAAATACTAGGTGACGACTCTAAAAATCTATAAATAATTTTATAAATAATTAACACTTAGAATAATTTCTTTAGGAGTCCCGTCAGGCGTCGAGTAACGATAATTTCTTTCGTTTAAGAACTCCCTTATTAGCTCAATCATTATAATGTTGTAGTCTGTTTCATTTATGAAAACTTTAAAACCAACTCATTAAAAAACACTACACGATTATCTAATTCAAAACTAATAATACCAAGAACCAATTTTAAAATTACCATTACATCAAAACATTTCACCAACATTATCGAATACCGAATTTCCAAAAAGGTTTTTTTATCTTTATGCACAAGTGTTAACTAATCGAGTCACCTAAGCAATACGGACATACAATAATGTATAATTGAGTTTTCTTTAATAAGAATCATCGTTCTAAATAGCCACACAATAGCATCGAAAAAAAAGAGATTAATGTTAATAATTAAATTTTAATTGATGTAAAATCAAATGAGTATGGCATATACTAACACGAACATAAGCAAAATCACTAAAGACAGAGAGTGAGAAGATTAATAAAATTACCTCAAACTAACAATGCTTGGCAAATCTCTTATACACATCCAAAGCAAATTTCTCCAATCCCAAATTCTCTTCTAATAGTCTTCGCACTCCCTCAAATGTAAAAGAAATGCAATTTACAATTCAATCACAACAACAATCATTCAATTCTCCTCAATCTTTTAAGAAGCAAAATAATATCATTCACTTTCTTTCTTAATCAAATTCGAAAACATAATTAAATTGAACCAACTTCAATAACAAAAACCCTAAAATTGCATTAATTTGGTAAGTAAGAAAGAGAGAGTAATTGACTTATTCTTCAAAGTGGCTAATGCAAGAGAGGATGGCTTCCATGACTTGAGACTCGATGTCAAACGACTCATCGGGTGTTTCTTTTTCCCCATCTTTGTGCCTTGCATCTCTTCGTCCATTCTCGGCGCCACGAAAGAGAGAGAGACAGAGAGAGAGAGAGAAGAATGAATCAAAAGACAAAGTTATTGGTGGTGAAGATTCGAGCTATAGGTTTGGGTGAGGGAGATGGTGGTAGTGGCTTGACAAGAACGAAGGGTGGTAAAAAGCTAGTTGTTGGTGGCTAAGGGTACTATTGTTGGGAGATGGTGGTAGTGGCTTGACGAGCAGTGGAGGGTGGTAAAAAGCTAGTTGTTGTGAGGGGACTACTGTTGAGATGTGTGACGAGAAGGAAGGGATCGGTTGGTGTGAGGGAGCTAGTCTTTGGTTATGAAGATGAGTGGTTTTGGGTGTGAAGATCGGCGGTGGGTAAAGAGTTTTGGGAGAGTTGCAATGGGTTACAGGTTTGCTTGAGGGAGATGGTAGTATCGGCTATGAGGGTGTTGGTCTTTAGCTGGGTGGTAGAATAGCTTGTAGTAGAAGAAGAAATATGCAAAGAAGATAGTGGGGTTTTGAAATAGTTAAAGGAATAGTTTTTTTTAAGTCTCGTGTCCATAGTACATTTAGTCACAATAAATATTATTTCAAACAATAAACTATCATTTTAGTTTACTTTTTTAATATTTTGTTTTAGTATATATATAATCGATAATGTATAAGAAGTTGGTGAAATATAATTTTTTTCATGAGTGCTTTAGAAGGATGTCAAGTTTTCGGAGAAAATGACTCCATTTTCATACTCATAAATGGATGCATCAAGTTTGATTTGCAAGTAATACATCATCCATAAAAAAATATAGTATCCATTAAAAAATTTACTTTCAACCTCGTAACCATGATTAAAAACTATCAATACCGTAGAAAACAATTTCTCTAAAAAATAGTTGATTGTCCTAATAACTTGTTTATACACATATAAACCTATTTCATGAGATCTATAATCATATAAGTTGGGTTTCCGTCATTATTGATCTTAATGTCGGCATAACTTCTATCTCCCTCTACATTTTTTTATTAGTATTTCTATTAATAGTTTTTAAGGAATTGACCAAAATTAACTCGGCCTTAGTAAATTAATGGATATAATTCAATTCTCGAGTAGCTACTTTAAAAAATATATTTAGTTAAAACCTCATTTGTCTTTTTATTATTATTTTTCTAATAGCTTTGCTTTTTAGCCATGACAATAATTTCATGGTTTCTCATAAAAATAGACATTAAAGAGTTGTTCTCTTCCATAAATGAATATATACTAAGAGGTTTAAGCCACTTAGCTCATAATTTTGTCTTTACAAAGACAATTTTCTTTTTATATGAAAGAAAGAAATATAGTTATTAGTAAATTTCTTTTCATACGAGTCTATTGATGTACTGTTCCAACACACCACAAACAAACAAAAACCAAAAAATACTATTTATTTGTACATCATCGTTTATAATTTTTTTCAAAGTATCTTCTATATCTCTAGTGATCCTTATTGGTACTTTGAATATAAAAAATTAATATTTATTGCTAAGTACATAATTATTTTTCTTAATAATTCATTTGTTTTTACTTTGAAATAACTCAAAAAATACAATAGTTATCCAAATCAAATGTATGTTTGATCTCCTTACATATTTTGATTTTACAAAGAAGTAAATAAAACACTTGGATTTTATTTTTTTCCCTCTTGACAAATATTTTTGTTTCTAAACCATATATGTTTGATCTCTGTACATGTGCCTTGTATTTACAACAATCACTTTCCTTTTTTGCCACTTCTTACTTTTAATTATCAATTGATTATTTAAAAAAAAACTCAAGAAAAAAATTCTACAATTAATTTTTTTATAAGATTGCATAAAAAAATTAAATATATATTATATAAAAACTTATACTTATTGAATATTAATGAAAATATTAATTTTTAAAAGTATGTGCATTAGGTTCATATATATACAAAATAGTCAATAATATCAATAAAATAAAACTCTCGAAAAGTATAATGTCATCACATGTTTTCTTTTAAACATAATTTTAATTATTTTATTTGAGAGAAATTAACCTTAAAACATCTATTTTTTTATAAAAAATAATAATAATAAATGTTCGAGTGTGCATATGCTTAGTTAATTTCTAATAAAACTCTCTATAAAATTTATTTTAATAATTTTTTATTATACAAAGAAGAAGTAAAATAAAACACTTGGATTCTATTTTTTTTTCCTTCTTAACAAATATTTTTTTCTAAACCATATATGTTTAATTTCCATACATATGCAACAATCACTTTCCTTTTTTTCCTCTTCTTACTTTTAATTATCAATTAATTTTTTTTTCAAAAATCCAAGAACAAATTTATGCAATACAATTCTAGCCTTTAGATCAAACATATATATTTAGAATCAAGATGATCTCATTTAAAACTTATAAGAATACATTGTATAAACTATATATATATATATATATATATATATATATATATATATATATATATATATATATAAGAAAATAATCATGTTCATAAGAATTTATTCCAAAATTCAAACATAGTGAAAAATAAATCATATTTTTAAATACATAAAATTTAATAAAAAAAAGTAAAGAAAAAATTAATTGGATGAGAATTTTCATAAATAATGACAAATTGAAAGGATAAATTTCAAATAATAAGAGTAATATAATTTGAAGTATACGTTAAGTCTAAAATATGAAAACACATTATGGTATTTCTTCTCCACTAGGTTAAAAAAACTCAAAAAATAATTATAAATTTATCAAAATTCAAGAACAAAATCAAATAATTAACAAAATGACCCAAAAAAAAAAAGATTTGGGACTCGCGCATGCCGGACGTGTTCATTTAGGCTTGGAGAACTAGCTCCACGCGTGCATTGGCTAGACATGTGCATGCTAGCTCTTTTTAAAAAAATAAAGCGATAAGACGGACGACATGCATCAACCGACTACAACATTCAACGAAGTTATGATTGTCAAAAATCTAGTTGGAAAAATCGAAACACCTCTTTTGGGTTGTTCAAAACTAATTTAACAATTATATTTGCTCCAAAAAACCTCAAAATCATTGAAATTAGGTCAAAAAACCTCGTTGAAAACCTTAAAACTCATTTTAATGCACCTAAAGAACCCAAAAAATCCAAATCAATTAAAAAACAAAAAAAATATTTTTCATATATATAAGTCAATATTACTCTATTCCTCGAACACACCACACACACACACACACACACAAGTCACTATTTATTTACACATCATGGTTTATAATTTTTTTCGAGTATTTTATATATCTCTAGGGATCCTTATCAGGAATTTAAATATAAAACTTTAATATTAATTTATTGCTAAGTACATAATTATTTTTCTCAATAATTCATTTGTTTTTACTTTGAAATAACTCAAAAAATACCAACAGTTATTCAACCTGAAATATTAATTTGTTTAATGTTGCCTATTGGCTTGGATTTTGATTACCATCCAACGCCTTGATAATTGGCTAGTTATTTTCTAAACAACAAGACCAAAATATCCAAAACAAACAAAGGAAGATAAAAGAAAAACTTATTAAGAGATAATAGAGAAATGACATATGGACTCAAGTGGGATCACATTTTAGCTACAAGAACGATTTGGGATGAAGATCCGTCCATCTAGGATTTGAATGGACCGTGATAGAAACTAGGCCCAAAACGGCTAATTCCAACGCTTATTCCTGCCTCCTAATGCTATCTAGAACTTGACCAGATCAGAGAAGCAAAGCATTACTATGTATGCATGCATAAAATAATTCGAGGCAACCTTATGGTTTCAACTAGATCAAAATGTCAGACTTGGCAATTTCTTAGAAAGTATCACAAGCATAAGATGATATGATTCATTCCAAAACAACGCGGTTTAAGTGACTAAGCTAATTAATTTAAATATAACCAAATTATTATTTTTTTTTTAGACCAGATTAATTATTAAGTTTGAGCAAGAATTGACGTTTGGTGACACATAGTAAAAGCCAAAAAAGCATATTTCAAAAGGTATGTTAGAATGTTAACCAAATGTAAATAAATAGCATTTACCCCTATTCAACAAAGGGAAAGAATTCAACTTTTGAAAAACTCTCCACCATTTTTTACGTCCTGGAAGATGAGACAGGCTGCTGTGAGGTTTCGTTGAAGAGAGCAAATTAAGTTACCCACGGTCCTATAAAGTACTCCAATTTTATTTTTTATTTTTTGGATAATTTGGGACAGGGAAGTTTGAAAGATTGCACACGAAATACAAAAATCTTCAGACTTCCACAAAATTTTACAACTTGAAATAGATAAACTAGTTTTGTTAAATAGCTTCATTGATAGGAAAGCAATATTGGTTTTTTTTTTTTTTTTTGTATTTAAAGGGAGTACAGGAATAACTAAATCCAATATATGCTCCATTTGGCTGTCGTAGAGTTAGGGTTAGGGTTACGGGTTAAAAAAATCAAATCTTCATAGAGATGCTTTAACCTTAACATATATACATCTAACGATAGGTGCCTCTTGTGCAAGATGCAAAGGGTTCACCAATTGGGGTAGCTTTAACCTGTTTTTGTTTCTTGTAATTTCTTGAGCTTAGGTTTATATGCCCTTTTTCTACAAAAAAAGAACACCCCCTTCTCCACGGATTGTCGAATCAAGGCAGTGAGATCTCCTCCTATCTAGTAGAATTTTTTAATTACAGAAAAAAAAACGTGGTGGTTAGGATTTTGAAAAATGAACTGAATCCTAACTTTTTAAAGTTTGCATGTTCAAGTCCGTAAGTCAACAGGTTGAGTAAAGGTTTTCAGTTCCGCTTCTTCCATGAATTAACATGCATGCAAAATGCTTTTGTTGACTCTAGTGATCATGACTCACATAGCAGCCAGCCACCGCTATTTGCTTTCCCTTTGACATCTTCCTGATTTGTTACTTGCTTGCCTCTTAAGATTAGAAACTTCTCAGAAATTGAGGATCCAATAATGCATCGTAATACGCGGTACAGCGCCTATTCTTTATTATTTTGATAATTATTATCGTAAATATAAAATGAATGTATGATCCACATGCACAATGATACTAAAAATTAAGAAGAGAATTGCAACTATTATATTGAAAAATAGAAATAAAAAAAATGATATGACATATCAATTGACAATATTTTTATTCTGTATAAAAAAATCAAACATTATAATCTTTTTAAAATATAAAAAGTATATTTACTGTTTGAATTTTTATAAAACAACAAAGAAATGTTGTAATTTTTTCAAAATTCATTAATCACTGTGTGGATGGCAATTGGCATGTTTATGATCCAATTATGAAAAAGGATTACAATCTTCATATGCAAAAACTGGTACTCCAATAGTATTGCTGCCATTGAAAAAATAGAATGGATTACTGAGGGTGTCGCAAAATAAAGAGCCGAATTATCTGATCCGTCAGCAATTTCTGACATTCAAGTGCAACCACAAGTATGGGTGCTCGTAAAGTCGTAATTCTTAGCTTGTCAAAACTCAATGGGACCCTTGTAGGCTGTAGGTCAATGTGTCCCATGTAGGTTTAGCCCGTCAACACGTCAGAGGAAAGATGGTGCCTGCTGATTAGCCAGTGTTTTTCTGCTCGTGAAGTTATATAATATTAAGTTGTCGATCTTTCTCATCATCTACATTATGCTTTCACAATCCTTTGCCCCACAAATTAATTAAATCATGCAATAACGACCATAAGATTTTGTGATATTTCATTGAGAAAAAAATAATAATTAAATCTGCTTTGTTTCTGAACTTGTATATGAAAATTGAAGTCAGTGAAGTCAATTCGGACGCGTGAATACTTTGTGGTAGGGCCTGGTATTGTGAAACCTCCGGCAGGAGAATTATTGGTTGTTTGCTGTGTGAAATTTGGAAATTGTGGGCAGCCATAAGATTAGGTGTATCCATGGTACTTGTTCTCCAAAACATAACAAAGACAGTTCTTTTTTTGTGTCAATTCGGTGTTTCTGTTTTCTCTGGATTTTTTCGTATAAAATAATTATGTTCACGGTACTAAACTAATAATGCTATTAGTATTAGCATACACTTCATTTATATTAATAAATAAATGAAGACCAAGTCAATCCATGTAGTGCACGATCGCATAACTTCAACAACAACGATAACATGAATTATTTAATGTGTGTTGTGTGGGTGTGGACATTTGGACTCAATTATACCAGGAGGCATAGGTTATGTCCAAATCAATTATGTAATATCTGATTCGAAGTTGCCCACGAAATTGCTAGATTGAGGACACATCTCAATTGGATGTTGATTAGGGTTAAAAATATCGTAGGGTGTCCGTACATACGGAGAGATGGCATGCCCAACCATCTCAGTTATAACGTGCTAATTACTAGAATTGAATATACAAATTACAAGCCATATCGATCGATGCAAATGATGACCAAATGAAAATTCTAAACCCTCTTCAAGCACTTCACCGATATCCAAAACAAATTAATTAGGGCACGATAATATCTAACGCAAGTATGTATGCACTGCAAGAATTACGTAGCTAAATTGTAGTAGTATTTACTACTACGTTTGAGGACAGAGATACACACCTGCCTCCAACGAGGGCATAGTGATGAAATGCCAATTAAGGCACCGTAACCTTCACATTCAACTGATGCAACCTACCATTGCAGCGTCATTAATTACGGATCTGGCTCAAATATAGTCGTGTTGTATATCCTGCCTCATCAAATTAGAATAAAACAAAATTTCGGTCCTTAAATACTCTTGTCGATTTTACACGGCTAAATGGAGTATTTACTACATCATCTGGCGATAGAAATACAGCTAGCTAGCTATCCCAAGTCATTGATAGTTAGTTAGCTACAGCCATAAGAAGTTGCTTGGTTCCTTTAACAAACCACCCCTAGAACATTGTCTAACCAAATGCCAACACGATTCAAAGTTCGATTTTATGTTAGACCGGCCGTTTGATAGTTCCAGCCCAAGAAATCTGGTCTCTTCATTAATGGTTAGTCGGTATAAATGGATTACTGATTCGGGTCATTTAAATTTACAGGAGGAATTAAGCAACTAATTACCAACCCACACAAACATGTCTTTCTTTAGTTATTTTTTCATAATGTTTAGCTTTCGTCGTGGAAGATTCTCACTAAGCTTATGAATATTCACAGCAATGGAGAATCCTGTGTATTAATGTGATATATTTATGTCTAGCGTGGATGCTGCTAAGGTATTGTGGCGATGGTTAGTGAAATTATGGAGCGTGTGATACAAGAAGGAAAAGAGGGAGTGATGGAATAAGGTTGTCGGATGATAATCTGATACTTTGCACCAGAGCAGGGATGTCAGAAACTGATGTCATGTTGGATGTGGAAAATTGAAGAGAGAGAGAGAGAGAGAGAGAGGCAGGCTAGCAGCCTCTTTTCATTCTCTCTTAAATGGAAAATCGATCCAAGTCACGCGGCGATATAGCTGACCATCATGCCACAACTCGCTAAACCAAGTTTAACCACCAGCTGCGCTCCTCGAGTGATCCCAATTACGCGCTCAGGTTATGTTTTTATGACCATGTTCGTGGTGGAAGAGCTCGCTAAATAAGATTATAGGACAAATTTGTTTCTTTAATGACAGTAGGATAAATGCTTTGAGACCTTTGACCGTGCCAATTAATGTATAAAATTAAGGCATCCAATTATCCAATTCATTTTCCAAGAGAATTGACAAGGCAGTAGTGGGTTGTGTGGTTGCTTAGAGATCTAGATTGTTGATCCCATCACATACTTAGAGGTTATCAAAATGAAAATTAAGAAGATGTCTCTTACTTGTAGTAAACAACAAATGCTACAATTGTCACTGTTAGTTGTAGAGCTTTTTCCTGAACAAGAATACTTCTAATTTTTTTTTTTAATAAAATAAGATAATTTAAAATTTATTTATCAAATTAAAACATTTTATGTCATCAACCTCCACATCAACAACCTATGTAACCACTAAAAAACAATAGATGTTAGTTTGCTTACCAAAAATAAATAAAAATATTTATTTTATAAATCCATTTTAATAAGAGAAACATACAAAAAAAAAAAATCACACATGAACATAGTAACAATACTAACAATACTTTCAGATAGACTTTTTTTTTTTTAATTCTCTCTCTGTTATTTTCTTTTTTTTTTTGTTTATATCTCTCATAAAACGTAAGTATTATTAATTACTTTATAAATAATATAATTTTTTTTGTATTTCATATTTTTCTTTATTTACTATATCATCATAAGTCTACTCACATGCTCTTTAACTTGATTTTTAGTTCTATATTTAGAATCATGAAACTTATTTCAACCTTTATTTTTTTCAACATATTATGGAAAACTACTCATGTAGGACTACATTTATTGCTTATGCTAAAAATTACAATCAAAGTTCCCTTCCAATTATATCCATTTATGCATTTAGTTTTATAAATTGTTTACTATTTTTTTAACAAAAAAAATATGACTTAAGAAAGAAAGAATTGACATGGATAAAATAAATTTTATATAGCATAAAATACTCTAATTTAGAAAATAAGTTTAAAACTATTTTTTTTGATAAAAAAAAAATTAATGCATGTAATATTAGTTGTACATGCAGTACATATTTATTTTCTTTAAACATATCTAATTTAATCATCAAAATTGCGTGTTGCTTTACTAGTGCCACAATTTTTCATCCAACTTTAAAAAGTAAAAACGTGTAGGATAGAATTTATTTTTGAAAATGATAGACACATCATATAAAAAATAATTATAAAAAAAGCATACTTTCTATTATGTTTCTCTTATAATTAGCAAAAACAATTGCTTTACTCGTCCAATAGTATGGCCTACCAATTTAGTTTGAATCAACTTAAATTAGCACCAAATCCAAGGAATGATAAAAAGGAAAGACACTTTTTTTTTCATCCTTGGAAAAACTACTAATGCACGCGCCAATTGAGCAACGTGGGAATGGTATGAATGCACCGCACGCAATCTACAGTGAATTTACAGCCGTTAGATAATGATAAGAATGATACCACATAGGACCATATAATATGATAATACCATAAATACCCTCTCGCTTTTTCTCTCTCCATGGTCTTGCTCTCTCGTCATCCCACATGCCATACAATTCGGACACCAAGTTCATTATTCTTCTTTTACCCACACTCGTCTCTTCTAGCTAATCTATAGCCGCCCCAGCTCTCCCAGTCAAATACATCGTTGACTGACCATACCCTACGCTCCCCTCCCTCCCTTATTCTCTCGCCCATTCCTTTCTTGTATAAATTCACCCCCCTCCTCCCTCTCATTTTCATGCTTTCTCCCTTTTAAAAACAAACCAAAAGAGAAAGGACCGCTACAAGATTTTTCTTAAATATGGCACCCAGAGAGAAGACGGCGGCCGTTAAAGTTAACGGCGGCGGAGGTGTAGGCGGTGGAGGAGGAAAAGAGGTGCATTTTAGAGGAGTGAGAAAGAGGCCATGGGGAAGATACGCAGCTGAGATAAGAGACCCTGGTAAGAAGAGCCGGGTTTGGCTTGGGACTTTCGACACGGCCGAGGAAGCGGCACGCGCCTACGATGCTGCAGCACGTGAATTCCGTGGTTCCAAGGCAAAAACCAACTTTCCATATCCATCATGCGAGAATGTTAAGAAAAACATGGTCTCCATCGACAATAACAGGAAAGCTGCTAACAAGAATACCAGTAGTGGTGGTGGTAGTATTAATATTAACAATCAGAGTCCGAGTCAAAGTAGCACGGTTGAGTTTTCCAGCAATGATACACCGTTGGATCTTAATCTTGGTCCTGCTGTATCCACCGTCAGATTGCCGTTTCAGCCGATGGTGATGAATCATCAGCAGGCGATCTATTTTGATGCAGTGATGAAGAGTCGGTACCAAAGGATGGTTTTTGATCATGGGTATCATCATCATCATCCTAACCAGCCGGTGGTTTTTTCTTGTGGTGGTGTCCAGAGTGATTCTGATTCATCCTCTGTCGTTGATTTGAATCATCACGATATCAAGACACCAAGAAGATCTGGCGGTCTTAATCTTGATCTTGATCTTAACCTTCCACCGCCACCGGAGATTGAATGATTTTTTTAAAAAATTATTTCCCTTTTTTATTTTTATGTTAGAAAAGATTAGAAAAAAAGACCCCAAAAAAGAGAGGTTTATTATGTGATCTGTTAGTTTTTTTCTACTTTCACGTATGTGAATACGTATTAGCAGATCTCGTTTTTGCAACAGTGAGAGAAATTCTGTTTCTTTACTGTTGTTTTATGAAAATTACTATATTACTTTTCTATTTAATGTTTTTTAATCAATGGATTATAACCTTAATTTCTCCCAATGTCTGTTAACGAGATGGCAATGTATTTTCTGGTCGCCGGAACAAGGTGTCGTCGGCCATGTTTTCGTCGGTACGGACAGCACTTCGTATTGGTTTCTGTTGTTGAGATTTTGATTGTTTTCGGGCAAAGCGTGTAAGTTGATGGTGATATTAGTAGTGCCTTTTACTCGCTGCCATGTGGCTTTGTCTTCACTTTGTGAGATAATTGGGACAGGTGTCATATCATAGCAACTGGATTACAGCAATTGCGTTGTTTGTTTAATTGTTCGAGGATAAGTCTTTATTGCCTGTTGCGAAATAGTGTTTGGTGTCTTTAATTTTGTTTTTTATAGGTTGCCTTTTGTGATTTTGTTAGAAAAACTGACTTGATGTAATACCTACTTTCCTAATGTGCAAGAATATCACTATTTTAGAACAGTAATGTTGTTTATATTTGGTTGCTTTTGCGGCTAATGAAAGCAATTGATTTACAACTTCAATTGCCAAGCAACCAAGCAAATGCTGTATGCCACCTCTTTTAACATGAGGGCACCTTTTAACCGTGAAGAAGCTTAGTTTGTCAAGATATAATGGTTTGATGTGGGGGTAGATTTAGAATCAAAATGAGTGACCCAATATTGCCAAATAAGAAAAAGATAGTGACCTAAAAGTAAAAATACAGCAATAAGTTTTTTGGGTATTAGAAGAAAGGTTTTATTGGGGGTTGCAAGTGTTACTATAACAAATAATGAAACGGGAAAGTGAAAATGAAATTGCCTTTACAAGTTTGAAGCTTTTATGGAACCGGCCAGCATTAACAGGTACAGTTATATGCTAGTATTTTTAATTGACCAAAAAGATTTGGACTTCGGTTTCGGTTTCATGATTGCTATTCTTGACTAAGAGGATATAATGATTTCAGTAGTAAGGGTTTGGTTGTGTTTGGCAAATGATTTAAACCCACTTTTTTCTAACAATAAAAAAGATAGGATTCTCTTTAGATAAGTTAAGGAGAAGCAGTAATCATGCTTTATAGAGCGCATAGCTTTTTTGACCGAAATGAAAACTTTGGAATGGAAAAAATTATATAGGATGTTCGAGCTATTATTCCCTTTTGAGTTCCTTGTATTTGACTATCATGCTGGCCTAATTTTGATGGCTCCGTCATTTAATTAACTTCATCAGAGGGTAAGTTAACTTCAAAAGAAAACTACTCACGATGGGGCTTGCCTTTGCAGTTTGCAGTAGGCAGTAGCAATGCTTCTCACGGAATCTAGCATGCACGCACCATACTTATATAAGAAAAACCATCGACATGCTTGAGAAAAAAGCAAGTCCTTCGAACTAACAGAAATGTTTTTAAAAACAAGATCCTAAAATTATAATTATATGTCCTTAACTTTCTATTTTATATTAAAAAATATTCAAAGTTTCAATATATGGGAGAAGTAAAATTTTTGTAATTTCTATAGCCTCGTAGTGAGTACTAAATAACTTTCTATAGACAAAACTTAAAATATGAATTGAATTTAATTCGAAAAAGCAGTTCAAGAATATTCATGATTGTAAAACAAAAAGTAGATAGCATAGGTAATTATCCGAATCACTTTATAGTCACTCGTCCTGTTCTAAACTGAAGTTTTAGTTCTATAATTTTCTAATCTAAGGAAATGCAGATTTTTTATTTTTTATTTTTTTCGGTAACGACTACTCCTCCTGGACTTGAGTAAATTATAAATTAGTATCTTTTATTGAAAAATGACTAGTTTTTTTTTCAAATTTATTTTAATTTTTTATTTAAAAATAGTAAATATTAAAAGATTAATAACAAGAGAATATATTTTACAAAATAAAAATATTAAATTAAGCGTGATTGAATATTGTTTTAAAAAATTAAATAATTATTTAAAAAAAAACCAATAAAATTAAGAACTAATTTATAATTTTTTTAGTTTTTAAAATAACTAATTTATAACTTACTTGTTGGGGAGTACGATTTTTTCCTTGTTGAAAAGATTTTTTTTTTTCTTACGATGTTATATATATATATATATATATATCCGACTCCCTGAAGAAAATGATTACACCGGCCAATCGCGACTGGAAGAAGAAACTAAAAAACAAAAGCGCGTGGAAAGATAACATGAGCTGGCTGCTAAGTAGGAGACCGGAAGGTAATTCCCTATCGACTGGATGCATACATATATCTCGAGATTCGTGTCAGCATTGCACGGGTTGCAGTGCCGTCCGATCCTGCGAGAGCGTGGGTGTGAAAACGTTTTAATTCAGTTTTTTAAGTTTTGATCATTAAAAACGCGAATGGTGGGGGCAAGGAGACAAAACATGGGACCCACGTGGACGCGAGCGAGCGAAGTGGAAGTGGGGATGCGCGGCTGCCGTTTTTGGTGGCTCCTCGTCTTTAGTCGTCGATATCTATGCATTAGATTTCGCTTTCCCACTCTTTTAGAAAAGAATTATTATTTTTCTATTACCTTGTTGGTGTTAGACTATATAAAAAAGGGCTACTGTTAAGTATATCTTATTTTAATTGGTTAACCACGTCACAGAAGCTTTAACCTCACGGCTGAACTCCACGTAATTTTGCTTTTAGTTGTAATATTTGACAAAGCATGATGTAGTGGAAGCTTTGTGTGCCTGAATGATATCTGTCAAATGCAATCATGAAGTTTGACATGATTAAATCATTAACTAAGAACACGTGAAAATATGTTTTGTTTAATAATGTTTTTCATTTCTTCTGTTTAATTTAATGTTACCAATGGGGGAGTAATCTTGTGGGAGAGGTTGTCCCATGTGCCCATTGAGAACCATATTATTAAGTTTGTTTCCTTTCAAAACTATAACCATCTTAGATTGGTCTGTCACTTGATCTTTATGAGATATTTATTCTCAATCATGAGACGCGTTGCAATGGAAGATATCTTGTTGCACCACTATGAGATTCGCAGCAATATTCTTAAACCACCAATCACATAAAATTTCAACAAGGAATGACCAGAATGACTAAAGTTTTAATTCTCATCGGCTTAATCGGAGGGAAAAAAAAAAAAAAACAAGAGAGCACATCAATCAGGCCACTCTCCTAAGAAATTTCTCCCTGTTAGCTATCAATTTTAACTCTTTGATTGTTAAATTTATATATATATATATATATATATATATATATTAGAAAGACGGAGACGATTCAATGTACAGCTTATCGGATAATCTCTTATATTTGTCGAAGGTGTAAAACATTTTTCTGATGGAATGCAAAGCTGTCTGGGATTTTGACCACTACTTGTATATTAAGAAACAATGACATTGTAGTGATCTCAAATTACATGATAGATGTTCCTCGTTTGAATGCTATTTAGTCAAGGGACAATGTTAATTCACATGGATGCTGTCAGGAGCAAGTTATCACAAAAGCAAAACGTGTATATATTATTCTTTTTTATTCATATTTTACAGGTAAATGGCGTGAAAATTCATATTTAGCTGGCGGATTTGGGTAGAATCCTTCCATATTTCAAATAACATCAACAGATTAATTACTGTGAAACATTCTTCTTCTTCTTTTTTGTTTGTTTATTACGAAATATCTTACCATTCAATAATTGATTTGAAGAACTTTTTAGACTATAAAAAGGGGGTGGATTTTGCAGCATTACAAAGAGTAAGTACACAAGCAAATGACTTTTAAACCAAGTGAATAAACCGACCTAAACAAAGAAAAGGAAATGGAAAACCAAGGAATTAGGGCAGTATTACATTTTCAAATCAAGGACCCTTTAGAGCCAAGAGAAAACAAGACCAGTTTGTCAAACATAGTCAATTAATATTTCTCTTTTTTTTAAAAAAAAATCATATATCTATTCAAATTAGCTTTCTTATAAAGAGATTATTTCATGTTTCCATTCTGATTAAATAAAAGATTGATCATCACATTATGACTATAAAAAGAAAAAAAAATTCTCCAAACTTGACTGTCAAGATAATAACCTCAGGCTATACCAATTAAAATCATGACATGTAAGTGAATGTCTTAGGTTAAGTATTTTTTAATCTTAAAATTTTAACATTATTAATTAAACATGAAACGCTGATAGCTAATTCTCCAAAACCTACATAATATTAATATTTATTTCATAGCTTTCATAAATAGGTAAAAAAAAAAAAAAATTGTCCCTGAGGATTTAGCTCTATAGGAATCAAGACTAAATAAAATGGTCGATGTTTTCATATTTTATGTTTTAAGAAAATAGGGAAATGATAGGATAAGAAGTGTGACAATTTGATTTTTTTTTAAATAGTTTGACTTGTCAACATGTGAAAAAGATTTGTCCCTTATGATGGGCATGCCATGCATGACGAGAGAAATATCTGCATGCATGGACACAACTGACATATATATAAGTGGGAAAATGCATGCATATGACATAAGAAGCATAAAAGCAATCACGAATTTTTGTGAATAGTTTAATGCAATACGGCGCATAGGCAGGCAACGTGTCCGATAAGTACAGACAATTGAGCGCCGGCGGGTCGGCGTGTTTGCGTTAAAGCTGTTTTAAATTCTGGGTCCCACTCCCCACTACTCGTATCAGGACGGCAGATTGCCTAGAGATACGCCACGTTTCACCCAACTAAAAAAATATAAATATTATTAAAAAGAATGCAAGCTACCGCCAAAATAATAAATAATTTGATAAAATAAAAAAGGCCGTACTTAACTACTTATTACTATTACTACTATACAATA